GATCGCCTGGAGAGTCGACGAGACTACGATCTTCCGGGGCAAACTTCTTCCTTGGAGAGACATTAAATTTTTTTGTGAACTTACAATTAATCTCCGCTTTCAGAACGATCTTGCCATTCGAGACGATCAAAGGGCATTTCTTGACCTGACTTTGTCTCACCGGACTTGTTCAGTTGGTAGTCTTTGATTGTCATCGTTAACCAGTGGCGTGCGAAGAGAACGAGCAGTACATAATGGAAAGAGGCAGCAGCAAATCGAGCTAGTCCGATTCGCAAGAATTCTAATAGCGTTCGAAGGTCGACCGAAAGTGGAAAAGTAGTTCGCCTGCCTCGATCGATGTCGAGCTTTCCCGATGAAAAGACAACGAACGGACGATCCGCCGTTTACTCAACGTGGTTACTATCGTCGTTTGCTTGTTTGTTTCGTTTTCATTCTCAACATAAAGTATCCTTGAATCTGAAGATGAATCATAAAATTAGCAATTAATTAAAAATTTCCTAAGCTTCCAAAGCTTCCAGAGAAAAATGTATACACACAAATATGGAGGATTCCTTAGTTTATGGGATGAATCTCGAACCATCGAAGGACATTTCAATTATTCGTAAGTGTCTATAGCGCTCAAGGGAACAGAAATCTCACAGCGTATCCCAGATATAGCTTAGGATAATAAACACAGTATTGCGTAGAGAAAACCGACGAGGCCACGAAGCAAAACTCGTTCAGAAGTCGAGACAACGATTTTCCATTTTCCGATCGGTGTTTCTCCCCCGGCTCGTCACCGAACCGGAGGCGACACTTCCGGGAGATCAGCTTGTCGCGCTGGGAGGAACGCCAGAGTACGAGTTCCGAAGAGAAAAAGACGAGGAGGAAAGAGGGCAAAGACCGTGCGAAGAAAGAGGTCACCCGGATTCCGAGAGCGGTCTTCTCTTAACTCTCGCACCAGAAAGCGAGCCGTATCGTAAGGTAGCCCATCATTTTTCGTGGGAGGAGTTTTTGGCACGGCTGCCACCCCCCTTTTCTCTCCGTGGAGTTCCCACACCAAGGAAGGAGTGATCGATCGATCCGTCAAGACTATGCTTTTACCACCACGCTGCTGTTAGAGACGCCATCAAGAAAAACGCACGATTACTCCGGATG